CTGCGGGGACGGGAAGCCACCCAGAGGCAGACTGTCCCAGATGCTTTGCCATTAGGAGGAAGCAGGGAAACCCTACTGCTGAGCCGAGGACGGCAGGATGCCAGAGGATCCACAGCACTCGTTTTTGGAACAAGGCCCATTTTAAAAAGCAATCCAGGTCCAAAAGGAACCTCACCAAATTAATGGTATCGAAGACCTGCACCTCCCCGATGGTGGCACTGCCCGGGTACGCCAGGTAGCAGTTGTCGTTGTTTATGGACAGCGCACATAAGCCTGCGAGCAACACAGGAGAACAACGCGGAGTTAGGTGGGGAGGGTCTCCGTCTTAGCTGTCAGACATAATCCAGCATTCACCTCACCGAGAACGCAGAAACCAGAGAGCTCTGCCACAACCCGGGTCGGGGCACTGCGGGGTTCTACGCTCCACCCCCTATGCCGCCACCTCGGTGACAGCGGGATGGTAAGAAGAGATCAAAGGCCTTCGCCTGGAACTGATGAGCAACCCCACAACTGGAAGCCGCCCAGCCCAATGACTCGTGGTCACCAGAGCAGCAGCAGAAGGCAGGCAGCCTGGTTTCAGATCAACACTTCAAAAACCCGTCTCTATCTGCGGACCCTGCAGAGTCAGCTCCCTCCCGCCCGCGGCCAGCGGGAAGAGGCAGAATCCGAAAGACAGGACACCTTCCCAGTCGACTCACCTGCAGGGTTGGGGGGCGTCTCCCTGATGGTGTGCAGGACCTTCATGTCCCGAATGTTGTGGATGTAGAGGGACTCCTCCAGGCACACTATTAGCCTCTGGAACACAGAGACCGCAAACAGAGAAGGGCAAACATGAAGGGCGAGGCACAATGTGCGCTCCCCACCTCACAGACGCACTCTGGGACAGACAGCAGCGGGCCTCCCAGCGCCACGCACACTGTACCCCGGGGCACTGGCCTCATCCACCAACTGAGCGGCGCCCAGAGCTGGTGGCCCGCTCCCGCGACCAGTCCTGCCGGCTGTGCTAGGACTTCCTTCCAGCTGCGACTGAATCCAATGCCACGGGAGGTGGCCAGCTGCAGCTGAGAACCCGGGGCTTGTTCGGTTTCGCTCTCGCGACACCTGAGCTGCTTTCAAACGCTGCTGTCCACTCAGGGTGGCAAGAGGAAAGTAGAAGACTAGGGGTTTTTAAAAAAGTGCACAATTTCTTCTGCACTCAGATTCCTCTGCAGGAGCCTCAGCTCTTGCTCCATTTTAAAGACGAGGGGCGCACTTGTAGCTGACGCCCCACGGGGATGCTTCACGCAGGAAGGACAACTGGGCACGCACGCGGCTCCCCTTCAGCTGGTAGGTATACGTATACCTGAACGTTTTACAGTTAAAAAATGTTCAACATGGTATACCTTCTAATTTCCCATTTTAACCAACTTCTTCAGTTAACAGGTCAATTCCCAGTTTCCACCATGTTGGGGGCCTCCCGTGGGACTACGTTCCCCGGCCACCGCCCTGCAGAGTCCCTAAGAGAGTCACGTGGGCCCCGCGTCGGGCTGCTGGAGGAGACTTCCCTGCACAGAACACTTCGCTGCAAACACAAATGCTGAAGGACCTCAGGGGCCGCGCCGTGTTTGTGAGTAAGCACAAGCCATGTGACAGCCTCATGAAATACACTCACAGGCTCGTCACCAAGTCCATACTCTGGGCCAGACATTCTTGTGAGTTTTGGGGAACATACAGAAAAGTAGTAAGTCCTTCATTTTAAATTAAAAGTTAAATAAATGAAAGTTTAAAAAATGAAAAGATGCTAACAGATTTTTTTAAAAGTAACGTTTATAAAAGGAGAAGCAGGTAAATAAACTGCGATTCGACTCGGGATGAACATGAGGATATAGAGAGACAGAAGGCTCGTGTCTTGAAGGATGCGGGACACAGTCTGGCAGAGGCTAAGGGCACTCGTCAGAATGGAGCGGTCTGCGCAAACTGCTGAGAAGAGAAACAGAGGCGAGTCCGGGGCACGCGGGGGAAGGCGAGCAGGTACAGGGGCCAGAGGGCCGAAGGCTGCGACACGGCCGGCTAAGGACCCTTGGTTTTGTCCTAGAGGCACAGGACGCTCTGGGATGGCAGGCACAGTCGCGGCCGGACTGAAAACACCGCGGGTGGGACAGAGCCCACCTGGAGGTCTGCTCCCCCGAGCGCGTCACCCACCTGCCTGTTCAGCTTCACGGCCAGGATCGTGTTGGAGTAGCTGTAGTTGCAGATCTCGGTTCCTTTCTTAAAGTGGCAAACTTTCAGCTTCCTGGGAGCTTTGAGGCTAACGATGGCCACTAAGCTGCTTGAGAACAGTCTTTCTACGATGCACACATCTTCAGTATCAGCTGAAAGTAGAAAAGAAAAAATATATGTATGTATCCACGTCAACAGGCACCATGCGCTCACACACGCGAACAAGGGTCTAACGTAGACTTATGGAGAGCAGGGCACCGCTGGGCTACAGGGCGGGCGCTTGGTGACGCAGCCCGCTCCCAGAGCACAGGCAAGTATGAAGAGGGGCTCTGGGGCATGCAGACCAGGGTCAAACCCAATGCTTACGAGCCACCACGCGCAGAGTCTCCCTGCATTCTGCGTGGAGGGCCCCCTCGGCTCCAGCACTGCATCCTCAGAGGCCTGGCCCTCGGTCCACTCTGTCCAACAGGGGCGGCCCTCCTCTCTCCTCCCGAGCATCGTCCTCTCCACTGCCCCCCGGCCTCACCTGTAATCCCCTTCGTTATGTGCTCCCTGGGTGCTCCTGGTGCATACGGTGGGACAGGAGCTCCATTGGGACAGGGGCCTCACTTTCTGCTCCTAACTGGATCCCTGGCCCTAACAACAGCAGCTGACAGAGGACGGGCCCCCGCACAGTCTTTGAGTCTCCTGATCGTTCTAGTCTCGCTTTCCTTGTGTGTAAAATGGGGATCACAGCTACTCCATGGTACTGTGAGGAGGGAATTATGGAGGACAGCCCACAGTCAGCACTCTACGCCCATGAGCCCTGCTCCCACCGAAAGCGGGGACACCCCTCCTCAGAGACTGCGGATTAGAAACGCTGTGTGTACAGCGTCTTGCACAGAAAGGAGCAGACGCAGCACACCCTCCTCAGCTGCTCCTTCCCTTCACCCCATCTCCACTGCCGTCTACACACGCTCCGCTCTCCTGAGTCCTCCCTTTGGTTTACGAATAATTCCCTGGGGTAAGTTCAGATCTAGGAGTAGAGAGGATTCTGGAATGTAGGGAAATCAAGAGGCAAGAATCTAGACGATTTCCACATGCAGCCTGTCTCCACCCGTGCTACAGGAAGTCAGTGGTGCCAGGTGTGTCAAGTGTGCCCCCATTCACTAATCACACCACCATTAGCTGTGGAGGCCACACTCTCTCTACCTGGATCTGAGTGGGGCACAGAGGACAGAGACAACCAGACGTTACAGCCCTGGGGGCCGGGAAGTTCTAGCAAAGTTTCCACTGTGATAAGAACCCCCTGTATGAAGACACACATCAGCTGCGGGAAAACGCATGGGTCAGTCACTCCAAGGTGGATCTGATAGCCTCCTGTGCTCAGCACAGCGCAGGCGCTAACATGCTGGGTGCTGGGCAAAGAGTCACATCCAAAGCGACAGAACACACACGTGCAGAGAACAACTCTAAGATTCCGCTGTCACTTAGACTGGTCAGGCAGTGAAATCAAGGGCAGGAGTCTGAGCTCTCACAGTAGTTTATTCATGGTCACTGTGACACAGACATTACCGCTCCTCTTTCCCGCACAGCAAACTAACCTTTCTCCAAAAATAACAGGTGCAAGCCCAAAGCTTCCCAGCCTGGCAGCATCTGAGAGCCGCCAGGCCCTCCCAGGACCCGACCCGCAACGGAAGCGGGCAGTCAGAGTGAGCCCGGAGCACACGACGGAGGGATCCTGGCCCGTTCTGACTGACTGACGTGTCTCGCGCGGCACACTGCCCAGCCCACGGCAGTGCTCAAACACAGGCCAAGCAAACCCAGAAGAGACGATACGTAGCCCTGGAATGTTGATTACTGCAGTAAAAACAACTTCCCGCAGGACCAGACACTCATGTTCTTTGATCAGTCCCGCCTTCCCTCAGGAAGTCGACGGGGATACCAGATTATGACCAGAAGCCTGCCTGGTGAGCAGCGGGCCTGGCGGATCAGGAGCCCGGCGGATGGTCTCCAGGGCTGTGCCCCAGGCCGCAGCCCCGTTTCTCCAAGGCAGCTGGCCACTCTGGTCTGGCGGGAAGAGGGCCCTTTCTCCATCACTGTCCAACGTGTCACTCTTCAGGCTCCCCCTTTCCGCTTACCTCATTCTTTCTTTAAGATTCAATAACTGTCTGCGGTGCCCTTAATCAATCGCATTCCCTGCTCATTGTGGCAGTTATCACGTTATCTCTGGTGATCTGGACAACTGTTCCACAGTGGTGTCCCTGCCAGGCCCAGGGTCCAAGGACAAGGCACGTGTCTGCCTGTTCACACTGTACCCCAGATCTGGCACCGCCTGGCATTAGAGGAGCTAACTACACATTTGTTGGGTGACTGAAAATGGACCTCGTGATTCGATTTTGGGTATTTCCCAAACTCTTCAAAACACCAGTAAAAAAACAAAAAACCCCCAATAATCTCTTGAATTGGGTCATATCTAAAAAATGGGCTAATCTCACCGTGATATTCTGTTTCAGTGGTGAAGTGAAATGACCGCGGGGGGCGACATTGGGTAGCGAAGTTGGCCTTGGCAGGTTCAACTGTGCTCCTCCTCACACCGGCCCGGGTGAGCGCACGGCGCCACACACCTTGGTGAGCAGCGGGGACGCCCCGGGGACCGGGAAACCACAGCCTGACAATCAGACTCTCGCCTTGGCACCGCTGTTGACTAGTTATGAGACCTGGGACCGACTTCCTCAATCGTGGAATCAGAGCCGGCCTTCCAGCTTTATTAATTCTAGGACGGGGATGTACTGAAGGGATCACACATATGCAAAACCGAATTTTCATTAAACAAGTAAACTTTATTTAAATTCACTGCCCCCATCAGTTAATCAGCGGTAAAAAGAACCTTCTTCCAAATACAGCCGATCCTCGTCATTCACAGATTCTTTATTGCGAACCTGCCTGGTTGCTGGTGTTCACTGGCAATCTCTGAAGCGAACAGCTGCGGTGCGTTTACAGTGATCCACGGACGCACAGGGAGCGGTGAAGGGCTGGAGCTGCCGGACGCAGCTCCCAGCTGAGGCGGAACCAGGTGACACTCTGCCTTCTTGCTTCTGCTCTCATACTGTAAACAGCTGTCCTTCTCGTGGTCTAGTTTTTGCATTTTTGTGCTCTTGGTTGGTGACTTCACAGTTTAAAACGGCCCCCAACCAGAGTGCTGAGGTGCCAGCTCGTGCTCTAAGTGCTCGAAGGCTGCGACGTGCGCCAGAGATGGTGCGCGTCAGATCAGCTTCCTTCAGCATGAGTTACAGCGCTGCCGCTGAGCGTTCACCACGGACGAATCAACACTGTGTGTTAAATAAGATGCCTTTAAACAGGAACACATGGAAAACAAGGTCACGCATTCATGACTCGATGCAAACGCCGTGAGCAGAGGCTCACCGGAACCCAAGCCCAGGAGCAATGGTCAGGATTCGCTAACTCAGCGTCCACGGCAGCTTTACAGAACAGAACTACCACGCCGCAGAAGCCACTGCATGTTCTTCAAGGACAGATGCCCCCTGCGTCGTTTGATACAACTGTACTTATTCACTTCACTCCTTCCACACGTCATCACGTGCCCACTAGAGTCTGCTCCAGGCAGGACGACACACTGAGTGGTGAAGATGACCAAGGGCCGGCCACCATGGGGCCGAGGCTGAAGAGAAATGGGCCCAGGGCTCTGGGGGGCACTCGCACTTCCAGGTCGGGCAAAGGAGGGCCAGCAAAGGAGACTGAGTAAGAGGGGAAAACCAGGACCACGTGACCTGGAAGCCAGCAGGAGAGAGTGTCTGAGGAAGAGACAAGTGGTCACCTGTGTCCAGTGCTGCTGGGGGCTCAGCTGAGACGAGAACATCCACCGAACCTGGTAACATGGACGCCATCTGGAGACCTTGACCAATTCAGATTTTAAAAATCATTTTATTGAGGTCATGTTGTTTATAACATTGTGTAATTTCAGGTGTACATCATCATATATCAGCTTCTGTACAGACTGCATCCTGCTCCCCTAACAGCCCAGTTTTCGTCCGTCACCATACATACGCGCCCCTTTACCCCTTTCTCCCTCCTCCTCTGGTGACCACTGATCTGTTTTCCTCGTCCACGTGTTTGTTTACCTTCCACCTGTGAGGGAAAGCATACGTTGCTTGGGAGACCCTGACCAATTCCGCTGGCGAGGTGGAGGCAGAATGAATGTGACAGGGAGGTAAGCAAGGGAAGAAGAGTGTGGGCGCTGAGCAGAAGTTGTGTTATGAGAGATGCAGAAATGCAGGGAGGAGCTGGGGGCCATGCGTGCTCATAAGTACGGTCAAACGTAAGATCTGTAGGGTCAAGGGAAATTTCTGCTTTGAAATACACAGGCTCCTAGATACACTGATGGCGAGACTGACACCGCAGGAGACGCAGGCTAGCTGAGGGAACAAGCCACTTAACAAACTGGAAGACGACGGCATCCAGTAGGACTGGTCTTCAATAGGATGAAATCTCCTTCTCCCCATTTGAACGGGAGGGAAAGGAGAAGATGGTGCAGATGCAGGTGGGTTGGTCATTTGAAGGAGGAAAGGTAAGGGATTCCCCACTCAAAGTATCAGTTTCTCTCTGAGGCATGAGGAGTGGTTATTAGCTTTGAGGGGCCCAGAGGCAGGAGGTTTAAAAAGTGAAAACAGTAGGAAACAATCACCTCGGAGATAAGCAAATACAGTTATTGGAAACATGTAGGACCACTGTAGGAAACATGTGTAGGCACTGGTGAGTTTCCATATGATGTTGTGGTAATAAATTCAAATTCAACCAGTCAGGAGAAAAATCATATCTATACAACAGATGCAGAAAAAGCATGACAAAATTCAATGCTTATCCTTGGTGAAAACTTAGAAACCTAAAAATAGGAAGAAACTCCTTCAATTGAAAGGACATTTATCAGAAATCTAGAGCTAACATCATACTTAATAGCGAAAATAATGAAGTCTTCCCTTTAAGACTGGAAACAGGGCAAGGATGCTCACTCTCTTCACTCTGTACTGGAGGTCTTACACATTGCAATAAGACAAGAAAATGAAATAAAAAGCACAAGGACCAGAAAGATGTCAAACTGTCTCTATTGCAATCTTAAGGAATTTACAAAGCAACTATTAGAACTAATGATTTAGCAAAGTCACAGGATATAAGCTTAAAATACAGAAATTTTTATAGACTAGCAACAAACTGGAAAATGAAATGAAAAAAATTCCATTTACAACACTGTCAAAAACCAAAATATTAGTAATAAGTGTAAGAAAAGATCTAAGATCGTCATACCAAAAGCCACACAATATTACTAGGAGAAATTAAAGACAATCTATATAAATAGAGAAATATATCATGTTCATGGATTAGAATATTCAACATTGTCAAGACAGCAATTCCCCTCAAATTCATCTCTGGGTCCAGTGCAATGCCCAGCATAATCCCAGCAGACGTTTCTTGTAGACAATGACAAACTGATTTTACAATCAGAAAGGCAAAGGATCTAGAACATCCAAGGCTATCTCGAAAAAGAACAAAGTTGAAGGGCTTACACCACGTTATTTCAAACTTAGTACATAAAGCTACGGTAAATCAGACAGTGTTTTACTGATATGGACTGACAAACAGATCAATGGAGAAGAATAAAGAGCAGAAACAGACCCACTCTTCCAGGATTGTTTTTAGGCACCAAAGCAAGCCAATGAGGGAAGAAAAATCTTTTTGACAGATGGTAGAACAAGAAGAATCCATCAGAAAAAAAAATAGCCTTGACTTATACCTCACACCATACACCAAAATTAACTTGAGATGTACTATTAAACTAGACATTTTAAAATTAAAGCTTTCAAAGAAAACATTGGAAAATAGCTTTACAGCTTGACGGTAGGCAAAGGTTTCTCAGAAAAAACACAGAAAGCAGAAATCATAAATGAAAAAAATGGATAAATCAGACTTCATCAAAATTCAAAATGTTTGCTCAAAAGCCAAGACAAGTCACAGACTAAGAAAAAAATATTCACAAAACTTATCTGACAAACGGCTGGTATCCAGAATATTTAAAGAACTCTGACAAGTCAATAATAAAAAGACAACCAAATTTAAAAAAGGACAAAGGTCTGAACAGACATTTCACACAAGATCTACAAATGGACAACAAGGACACGGAAGTGCCCAACATCATTAGTCATGAGGGAAATTCAGATTAAAGCCACAGTGAGCTATCAGGATACACACATCAGAATGGCCAACATGACAAAGACTGGCCGCACCAAATGCTGGTGAGGACGCAGAGCAGCCAGCCTGTCCCATACGGCACTGGTGGGAACACACACTGGGATAGCCACTTAGGAAACTCTGACAGTTCCTTATAAAACAAAGCACACGCTCCACTCCTAGATGTTGACCTAAGATAAATGAAAACGGGAGCCCACCAGAAGATCTGTACAAGGATGTTCACATTTACTCATAACAGCCAAAGACCGGGAAAAGCCAGATGGCCATCAACAGGAGAAAGGACCAACTGCCACATATTCATGAACTGGGCAACTGAGACACGTGACAATAGGGGTAAATCTCAAAAACACTACCCCGAGTGACAGAAACCTTATCTAGAGCACATGCTGCATTTATATGATGGTCAAGAACAGGCAAAACAAGCTTCAGTAGAAAAACCCAGAACACTGCTTTGCCTCTGAGGCGGTGAGAGAGCGGAGACCAATGGCGGGAGAGTATGAGGAACTTTCTGGAGTGATGGTGAACCTTGATAGGGGTTCAGGTCACACAGATGTATGCATGTGTCAAACACAGAATGTTTACTTAAGACTGTACATTCCGTTGTATGTAAATATTACCCGAAGAGAAAAGAATGAAAACACTCAACTCTAGTTAGTAATATTCACGCTGAAGCAGCTAAGGGAACATGTGCTGACGTCCGCCACGTACTGTGCAAGGCAGACACACAAAAGAAGACGGGCTGATGCACGGACGTGTGCGAGGATGAGTACAGTGAAACGTCAAGGACAGACCCTCAGTGGCGGATTCAGGGCTGTTAGCTGTAAAGTACTTTCAACTTTCCTGTGTGTTTGAAAATTTCCCTTAATAAAATGGCGGAAAAAGAGATTATTATTAACATAATTATTATATAATAATATATAATAATATTAATATAATAATAATATATTATTCATTTGCTTAATGCAAGTGTAGAGAAAGTGAAAAACTAATGGGTTATGCTTATCTTTTCCACCTAACTATAAGTTTGAAAATTTAGTTTTTAGTTTTTTTTTTTTTTTGGAGGAAGATGAGCCCTGAGCTAACTACTGGCAGTCCTCCTCTTCTGACTGAGGAAGACTGGCCCTGAGCTAACATCGTGCCCATCTTCCTCTACTTTATATGTGGGACGCCTACCACAGCATGGCGTGGCAAGCGGTGCCATGTCCGCACGCAGGATCCGAACTGGCGAACCCCGGGCCGCTGAGAAGTGAAACGTGAGAACTTAACCGCTGCGCCACAGGGCTGGCCCCTTGTTTTTAGTTTTAATGAAAAAAAGAGCAGATGAGATTTCTTTTAAAATTTTAAAAACGGGGAGGAGGGAAGGTAGTCGCAGCATAGCTATTTTTACTGCAAATATTCATCAAAGAGAACAGTAGAGGGAACCTCCACATACTCAACACCTAGGTTTAACAAATACTAACTTGTTGCCTCTGAGTTTCAACCGTTTTTTTCTTTTCCGAAGTTAAAAAAGAGCAGCTCATCATCTTGACACTCACCCCTAAGCACTTCAGTACATCCATCTAAAGAAAGAAGGACGTAGCAAAATATCTTTTCCAGCTTATGAATAACAGTGGGAGATGTCTTACATCAAAACCATTCCAGGTAGATCAAGCATTTACTGTAGACACAACAAAGAAGAGAGGAAAACCCCAGAACATTCTATCACCCGGCACAGGAAGCAGCTCCTGCACTCAGAAGCCCCACAGGAGCGGACAGGTGCATCTGAACACACAACACTCAAGGATTCAGACAGCAACCAGACCACAAACAAGGTCGCAAGGCGAACGGCAATCCAGAAGACATATCTGCAATTCACGACAAACAGCTAATTTGCTAGAAGTCAGAAAGAGACAAACGATCTAATAGAAAAGCAGGCAAAGGAAAGAAGGAAGCAGTTAAAAAAAAAGCCAACGACTACATGAAAAAAAGAGTTCCATTTCAGCTATGATTTAGGAAATGCAAAAAAGGCGAACGCACGTGTTTTTATCTCACCCGTGTAAATATTCAAACGCTTGCTACCGCCTAGTGCCGGGGGCAGCACGGACGCACAACTGGCACTGGCAAAGAACACTACCTGCTTTCAGGGCCCCCTGGCAGAATCTGGCAAGTTTACAGTGTTTATCTGTCCACTGTATCTTGCCAACTCCAGGAATTTCTCTGACAGCTGTACTCACAAGTGGGCAACACAAAGACGCCCAGCCAGCACGCCCACCCCTGGGGTACCTGTCTACTCAAGGGCGGTGAAAACAGGTGTCCACACAGTAACCTGGACACAAACGTTCACAGCAGCACTAGCCACACAGCCCCAAAGAGGAAAAGACCCGAACGTCCACTGACAAAACTTGGGACATCCATGTTGTGATATTGCCGAGCAACAAACAGAGAGGAAGTCCTGATACGTGCTCCAACACTCTAAGTGAACAAAGCCGGCCACATGCGGCGGTGTTTATCTGAACCGCCCAGAGACAGGTCCACACAGGCAGAGGGGAGATTAGCGGCTGCCCAGAGCTGAGGCGCGTCGAGGAAAGTGGGGAGTGACTGCTAATGGACTCGGCTTCTTTTGGAAATGATAAAAATGTTTTCAAATCAGATTATGGTAGGTTGTACAGCTCAGTCAATATACTAAAACCCACTGAAGTGTACACTTAAAACAGGTGATTTTTATGGCATATAAATTACATCTCAAAAAAAGCTGTTAAAAACACATACACACACACAGGTAGACTCTTGCTGAAATCTGAATTTTGGCCAATATATTCAGATCTGATGTAAGAAGCACTGGGTGGCAGGGACTTTAAATACTGAGGTGTGCACCTGTGAGGAAACAGGTGACAGAGACGGGGCAGAAACTAGGTGTCAGGGTGGGACCACACTGAGATCTTTCCAGAGACCACGAGGCCCTGGATGCTAGCGCACACACACGTGAGCTGCATGGGGTCTCCCAAACTGCCGAAATCATATACTAAACCCTGGGTTTTCTGCGGGAAACATCTGTAACTCTTATCAGATTTCCACAGGAGCCAGGAGCCAGAAGAAAGCCCAGGCCCAGGGTAGGAGGCAGATGAACCACCACACCGTCACCCACACATTTTTGTCACTACTTAAGAAGTGATAACAACACAAAAGGATGCACTTCAGAGTTCCCATAAGTCCTAGGAGCCAACTTGCCTAGAGCTTTTTAGGAATACGCCTTTCATAAAGACTTATCATAGACACTGTTAGTGGTTTGGGTTGGTTATTTTTCTACCGTGTTATTTCAAGAAGCTCTTTACCACTGTTGGAGTACACCTCACTCCCAAGAGAACTTTAAACACAGAAGCACACACGGAACCCAGAGACCGAGAGTAGTCACTACCCACTAAACTCAAGTCCACACAGCCTGCCCCTCCCACGAAATAATGGCACATGACTAATGAGGCTGATAACTAAGGCTGCTGCAATCAAACGCAAAGCATGAGAAACAAGGCTGCTCGTCTGTAATTATTCAAGGTGGCCTCCCGCCAAGACACCAGCGCCAGGGAGCACTCAGGCTGACCAGGAGGAAAGCTGGAACGTAAACTTCAGTGCCCTCGCTGTCTAAGGCCTCGCTCTCACGGCCTATTCTAGATGGCCTCTGCCAGTTTCTGCCAAACCTTCTTCCTAGAGATTGCCTACCCAAAATGTAATTCAAGAAACAAATTATGTGATTCAAGGAAGCATGCAGTTCTGCTTCAGCTGGCGCTAATGAGAGCTGGAGACGATGCACTTCTCCAGTGGGACAAGGGGAGAACAAAGCCATGAGACAACCGAGAGGACACGCTTCCAAACAAGGCCGTCTGCCGGAGCCTGGAGCTCCAGAGAGAGGCGGGCCGAGCGCCCCATCTCCCACTACACCTGATTCAGGCAGAGAGCGGCTCCCGGAGTTTCTCCTGGCACGAGTCACTCCCATAAACCTCACTGAAGTTCACAATCCCACCAGCGCACGGTCTGGACATCTCTCAGACCTTAAGCTGCAGATGACGGCCTGTAAAGTCTTGATAAAAGGTGCGATGTGTCTATGGGGCATTTCTGTCCTTCAAGCAGCTCTGGCCCCTTTTGCTAAGGTAAGGAAGGTCAGCTCATGGTTAGTTTCACAACTGAATGCCTCACGAACTATGTTTTCCTGGCTCAGAAACTTTTAAAACGCAAAGTACACAATGTAAAATCTGAAAAGCCAACTTTTCCTTCTAAACTTCTGTGATATTTTATAAATGATAAATCTATAACCTTTATTTATTTTCCCTAACAATGTAGGGTTTTGTTGCAGTACTATTTCAGGGAGAGAGACCGCGTAATTGCACATTACGTATCTTCAAACAGAGGACACAGGAGAGAATGATAAAACAAACAGGGCACACAAACAACAGGAAAGCACTGGGGGTTCTTGCAAGTTTCCATTAAGTTTGAAATTACAATATCGATAGAAAAAAAAAAAAATCTTCCACTGCTGCTGGGCAAAGGATTTTTTCTGTTTAAATAAACAAAAGAAGAACGAGCAAATGTCAACCTTGCTCTTCCCCAGACCAGCTCTGGCTCCTCCTTTCTGTCACGAGAGCAACAGTGACCGAGCAGAGATCTGACTATGGCGGAGGGCTGGGAGGTACGAGGGACAAGCCGATCCTGAGCCTGGGCCAAGGACCGGGGCATCAGGATTGCTCTCTGCTTTGAGTCTGTGTGCAGAAAAAGC